CTATGATTTTATGATATTTGATTGTAATAGCTAGAATAGCTATTCTATAGCTATTCAATAGCTTTGACTATATCTGTAGAATTATAAACTGATTTCGATTGGAAAAGACCTTGAAAAAACTATCTGATCTAACTCCCTACTTAGAGCAGGGCTTTGCTATTCCTCAGTAGTTAAACAACCTTACAATCTATTGATGATGAAACATATTTTGGAGAGTAAGTCTCTACAGATACAGCTATATTTTGTTTCTTTAAGCATTTTTATAATTTTATCATACGTTAGTATGATTAGATATGTCCACAACAGAATTACCAAAATGACTGCAATACCATATACAGATACTGAAGCAAGCTGTAAGCAACTGAGTTTCTGTAGGTGGAGCAGTCCGCGCATAGCAGTGTGGAGCACAACGTGCCCGGGATTGCAGCTGAGTTCTCTGCCTTGTCCACTCAGCTGAGTTAGCGAGTAGAAAGGTAGTTCAGGAACTGGAATGTTACAGTTTAGTCATGCCTGTGACTGTCATCTAGATATACCTGTAGTTATCGCGTACACCACAGTGTAATGTGAATGTGAATAGATCATATGAGTGTTTGTATGTTCGTGTATAGATATATGTACTACATGCAGATAAAGCAATATAGAATATTACTGCAGCAAAAATATCTTGCTTTGCTTCTTATTTTTGTTTATTTTGCAAGGGTATCTAAAAGCATTACATTCCTGGCTTTTGAAAACTATAGCAGCACATAATTTTATATTAAATTTCTTTATAGATATAGGTGAGTGAGATATCCAGTCACCAGTTTGTCTAGGTATTTGGCAGTATACTGCTCCATCCCATTTCCCCATGTTCCATTACAATACTTATGACTCAAATTTAAGTTTGCTTGGTACTAGAAATCTCACTTGTTTGTAGACATGCTTATCTGTGTTATGCTAACAGAGGATCTTGTGTCTGTGACTAAACAGCAAAGTTCCTATAGCTAGTAGAAGAATAACATGTCCAAGGATTGAAATCCAGCAGCCATCCACAGACACTGACAGGTATTACCATTGTATATTAGCTGGACTTTGAAATTATGATTATTAGAAAACATATCACTGTATTTTTCTTGTTCTGTGTTCAGTGTTTCTAGATGAAAACAGATGCACTAGGAGCTGAATTGTAGTGTACTGTAATCCTGCAGCAATTCTATTTTTATTTCTTCAGTTTTTTGTTACAAAACTAACCTAGTACTAAAACTGTGATTGGCATGATCTCGTAGCCTGCTTTTTTAATCTTGCACACAGTAAAAGAATTTAACGTGGGCTTTCGAATAAACTGATTTCAGTTATTTTTGGAAAAAAATAACTTATTTTTGTTGTAAGCTGTTATGATTGCTTACTGTTGAAAAATGTCCATCTTTTATGAGGGTTTTCTACACGTAAGTTTAGATCAATGAATGCATTCATTTGTTAAAAATTCTCCTTTTATTTGTTAAGAAAAGTAACAAATCTGAAAAATTAAAAATTAGAAATGATTATTTTCTGCATTGGGAAAAGGTTAGCTTTTGAAATTTTCAGAATATGAATGTAGAACAATGCAGATAAATCAGTAGTTAAAAAAGAAAACATTGTAGCACCTTTGGTTAGATATTGTAGTTACTAGAATTTACAGTGGTGCCTAAGTAGTATGAGATTCTAATTCTAATTTTTGATAGTTTTGAAATCTTAAATTATATTGTGAATACTCACAGAGCTTTCTGCATGGTGGCTTACAGAGAGCTCAGAGAGTTTCAGAGTGATAGGTGTGCTTGGTTAAGAGGCAAACACTTATTGCTGTACTCTTTCTCAGCATAGGGGAGTTATGCTCACAAGCCTTGTAGACTCTGACAGAGGAATAGGCCACCTTCCATGCGTGTTTTCCTTAGCAAAGGTAGAAAGATGCTGTGACAGACAGTACTAAATGGAGGAGGTCACTGTTTGACATTTCATTAACTGTATTTTTTATAACGGAAAGTCTATTAGCATAAAGATAAACAGCTCTAGCATACATTAAAATGTTATGTGGACATTGAATACTTCAATTTAGACTATTTTATTTCTCTCTTTAAAAATCAGTAATTCATATGATATGAATTACAATGAGAATAGAGGAAATGTTCATCCAGGAGTATAAGCCCTAAAGAATGTTATCTGAAAAGTTAAGAACCTGTTTTTAATTCACTGAGGTGTTTTAAAAACTCCCCTTCCATGCTAATGGTTGGATTGTGATACTAACACATAGTTGTGTGCTGTGGTAGGTGAGGAGCTTCACTGTCCAAGCAAGTTATTGAAGTGACATGTTTTCCATAAAAGGAACAGTTCATTTTTGAAGACCTGGCTCATATAGCACATGTGTACTGTTAAAAAGACAAAAAAGATGCGAGGACAAACAACATGCCTGTTTCACTCCAGACAGTAAAACTTGTCTGTTGAATTATCCTTTATATGTGTATGACGGAAAACCACCCAGTGAAGCTTTCAAGTGGAAGACTGTCGGTATTCTTGTATGGCCTTTCATTTGCTGCTGTGGGTGCTGAGAGATTTGAAGCGTGTAGCCTGTAACTTGAGGGCAACAATTCAGTTTCTCCTCAGGATTCAACTTAGTCATCATATCCTTCAGTCTACAAAAGCAGCAGTGGGGCCAAAGCTTCATGTGAAAGCAAAAGGTTCACTGTCCAATCACTGCAGATTGTGACAAACTATTTATGTTAACCATTTAATATGAAATTTCTGAGGCCCTTATGGCAGCATGATGATTAGCTACAGTGGCTCCATGATCTGCAGAATAAAAAACCTGCCAACTAAGCCATTGCTATTGGTGCTAACCGTAAAAATGCCTCCCTGCCTTCTAATACAGGCAATGGATCAGATCCCTAACATGCAAAAAAAATGCTTTTTATACAACAGCTAAAGAGAATAAGGCCCTAGAGTAACAAGTGAAAGAGGCTGAACCTCTCATGAAGTGTTTATGTGAATCGTGGTTGCTACTCACCTGTTCTTCTGTGTGTCCTGCTTGCTGTTGGAAGGAGAGAGAAATAGAAAATGGAATGATGCCTCTTGCCGTGTTGCCCAATCCCTGCTGCTGTGTGCTCCAGCAGACCCCCACTGACTGGGAGGAGAAGGGTTGTTCTAGTGCTCTGTGTGAGACAGACCCAAAGAAGAAAGTCTCTGTGGGCTCACTAATTTTCCTAAACATGTGGGTACATAAGGTAGGGGTGGGTTGTCTAGACCTTGGTTGTATTCTCTTTTGTAATTTTGCTGAATTTAGGAACATTTTTTTCTTAGAATTCATTCCAATATTCTAAGATTTTATTCCCATGGTAACTTTTTTAACCACCATGCAGATGGCTGACACCTTTCTCGCTTTCCATAGCACTGAAACCCCTCTTAAACAGTTACCTAAACTGAGCAACATTCTTATCAAAGCTAAGGTTGTGTTTCTTTGTCTATCCACAATGTAAAAGAAGCGAAACAGTGGATGTTTTTGCTGATGAAGCTTCCCATTCAGAAACAGAACTGATAGAAGAAGAAGTGAGGTAATTTTGTTGTGATTTTGTGCCAGGCTCATTGGACTTTTCCTCCAATCTTTAGTCGCTCAGCTTATAATTACCGTTACGTGTCTCGCTGTGGTGTGTTTGCTTGTTAGGAGCTTATAGATGTCGGTTCATGGTGAATGGTATTATTCTGAACTTGTCTGTGGCAAATCCTTTGAATGTTCTAGGAGTCCATTAATTACCTCATGGAAGGCCTGAAGAGACATTCGTTTTAATGAATCTTTTATCAACCCATTCAGCAAAGTTTGCCACTGTAGCGACAGCTATACTCTGTCTCAGTATGGTTTTTAGAAATAAAATGGTGTTAATAACGTAAGACTCTTCCTAATGGGGCTGTGGTATGTCTCTCTTTTTTTTGATACTAATTAAAATTTGGCTTCTTGTGACACTCAATCACCATCCAGTCACCCTTTGTATTAACTTCATTGTGAAATGCATGACTTCGCTCAAGGAAAAGCCCTGAAGGGTACATGTTCCCCGTTTGTGTTCTGTAGCTGTTCCGTTACTCAAGGAGAGTTGGGAGGAGTGTGAATTTAATAAGTAGCTCCATCATGGTATGGATTTACTTTTAAAATTACCTTGATTTTATGTATTTTAGGATGTCACTACCAAATATTACTCCTTGCAAACAGACCAATTCCATTCTGAAAAAAGGTGGAGCTTGATTAATTTCTGTTTTGGCACAGTTCTTTAGGATGTGAGTTAGAAGATTTTTTTAGTAGAAACCAAACGTTATCTAGTTGGTGGAAGCTCTACAGGTACTAATGATGTAGATTTTCATCTGACTGCAGTACAGGCACTGCATATGAATCTATCACTATAGCCTAGCTGGTATTTTGACAGACATCTTGAGTCTAATAAGAATTAACAGTGGTACATGGTAATTATAACATCTAGAATGTGGACTTTCGTACAAGCAAGAGTACTACTTCTAAAGATAATGCAGTCTGTAAAAATGTAGTCATGTGCGTACAAATACTCAATTAAGCTGCACAATTAAACAAGTCCTTAGCTTTAGTGAGACTAACATTGTCAGCTATTCTTTTCCTCCAAGGTTGATGTATTAATTAACAAAATAACAATATTTTTTACCCAGAAATTGTCAGGAAACAGACTATTGCATGGATAGTCATTACTGAGACATTGGAAACATTTCAGTCCATTTATCAAGAGTACGGAGCAAGCCAAATCATACATGTGTAAAAAAAACTGTATGTTATCAAGAAGCGAACTCAGAAAATTTACCCCCTGTCCAAAGTACATAACAAAATTATTTGCTCCAAACCAGTGTCATGCAGCATATTTTATAATTAATAGAGAAGTCAAAGGTCAACTGAGCTGCTTTTTGACTAACATTACAGGAATTGTGAAGCAGCAGATAGACAGCCATATCAAAGATCCAGATCAACAGAGCAACGTCCTATGCTAGAGCGGACCAACTCCCGCTCCCGATCCACAGAGCGTCCTGACTCAAACCTCATCAGGTCGATGCCTTCATTAATGACTGGAAGATCTGCCCCTCCTTCACCTGCCTTACCGAGGTGAAACAGACAAATCAATCAGACTAATCCCCTTCTGCCCCACCAGTTCACCATTTTATTTTCCCAGTAGCTAATTGGTATCACTTCATCCTTAGCTGATCACTAGTAGCAATAGATACTAACCCTTTCAGTGCCAACACACCATTTATATTCTACTCTGGATATAATGGTGTGGCTGCCATTACAACTTGTTTGCTAACAGTATTTGACTACATTTGTTTGTGATTTCTCATTTATCAGGAATCCTGGATGGTTTCCCACATAATGCACCTCATAACTGTCATATTCTTCTCTTACAGAATGAGAAATTGTTTGTGTTCATCAAACATCGCTTATGGAACAACCATCATAACAACATCAAATGAAACTATTTTTTTTTTAAAAAAGTTTCTTTAAATGGACTGTATTAACTTTGTCTGTTAATTACCATTTTAACCACCATTTTCTCTGACTACATTTTACTGTGCCATAGTCTGTATTGTTCCTGTTTGAGTGCTATACTTTACTGATTGACATTTTGAAGCTTTCTATACGTATTCTTAGGTTGAATAAACATAATACAATAAAAAGATGACTACATTTTGATCTGTTTGATTCAGTACAGCCTCTCCTTATTTTAGAACTAGAAAAGAATACATTCTTTTGTTTTCTGAAAGTGAGAGTTAGTAACATCAAATCCCTAGTGAGAGTTAGAGTCAAATACCAGAGTCTTTTCTCAGTTTATTACTTTATTTAGACAAATCCCTGTAATCTCATTGCTGCTCAATGGTAATTTAACCAAATACAAGCTGAGTAAAGATCGTTGAATTTGACCTTTGGATAATTTTATGTGTATGTGGATATTATATCCATACGCACATGAATATACACACAGTACATTTTCTGGCTTGATAGCAAACAAACATCTTGTGGATGTTCAGCCTTAGTCTGGCTTTCTTCTTTTTCACAGAAAGATTTCTCTTTTTAATCAGGTCTTTTTCTGAAAAGAGATAATAGCATCACTATGGGACTGCAAGAGTCCCAAGTGATCTAAAGCCTACTTAGTCATGTTATCAGTTCTTGATGATATTGAAGAATTAATTTGTCATTTAATGGCTATGGTGTGTTTTGATATGTGTCTCATAGGTCACATCCTCGAACTGGGTCTGTTCAGACAAGTCCATCAAGTACTCCAGTAGTAGGTCGAAGGGGCAGGCAGTTACCTCAGCTCCCACCAAAAGGGACATTGGAGAGAAGTAAGTGTATGATTTTCTCCTTAATGACATTCCGAAATTGCTCATGAAAGTCAATTATATTTATTATTTTTCTTTTGGCATTATAATTGAGATCTCTTGAGTTTTTGTGTACAGTATTAGGTTTTGATAGTAGCATTGAATTTTGTATGGTATTTTTTTTCTATTATGTTTTAATATCTGCAATACTCTCAGCTGAAATGCATCATCAGCAGTACAATAATCATCAACAGTGCAATACAGCGCACAGGAACCAGGATGGACTAACTATTGGCATGATCCTGTTCCTTTTGAATTCAATAGGGGTTTTGTCATTGGCTTCAACAGGCACAGGACATGATCTTCTGTATGTTGTTTAGTGATAGAACTCTGGCTCTTTTGGGAGTTAGGAGAGTAGCCGGTCACTTGTGGGTTCACATGGAGCAGGTTAGAGGTCGCTAATATAAAACCTCTGCATCTTGAAACAGGAAGAGCAAGAAGAGAAGTAATAATCTTTAACATAGGAAAGGTCAGCAAGATATTTCATGATTCATGTTTTGCTGGTACTGTAATTGTGCTTATTTTTAATGTCTTATAAAAGCACTGGTCAACGGAGACATTTTTCAAAATGTTTAGAAACAGAGCAATATAAACACGTTTTTGATAGCAAATCTATTTTCACCTTTCCACTTCTGATAACTAGATGTGTTGTGCAAAATCAGTCTAAATGGCCATATACACTCCTTTTTTTCGTTCCTTCTTAACGTATATATTGTATCCTTTATAAAACTTCTGTTGTTTTTAACCCCTGTGCTTTGGTTCCCTTTTTTTTTTTGTTTGTTTGTTTTGTTTGTTGTTTTTTTTTACTTTTCCTAGACAATGGAGACAAGGAGATAGAATCTTTTGAAGGTCTGTACACAAAGGAGGGTTTGTTTTTCACCTGAAAGCCTTTTTGAGAGGCTATATAGGGAAAAATAAACCCAACTGCAATTGATGTTACCTGATTGCACAGACATAGTCAGAATTATTGTCAGAATTATTTAGTCTTTTTTATATACAGACCTGTGACTCATAAATTCTACAGGGTTCTACATGAAAAAAAATGATAATATAAATAATACTATGTAAATACAATCATCATTAGAAAAGTACATAGACGTGTACCCATTTTTAAATACCAAGGGTTTACGCTGCAGCAAATAAGAGTATTTCAGTTAACCTATGTATGTATGTATGTACCTTTTCAGGATTAGAACTTCAGGCACATATTTAAATTTAAGCATTTGCAAGTATTTGACATGTTTAATGTTGACCATGCATTTAATTAGAACGATGTTTTTATTGCAAGCATGTTATAATGTTATACAGTTACTGAATTACTAGATAATTTTCAAATAATATTGGAGAAAAAATTAAATAAATCATGATAGTCTTACAAAAAGTTGTAACACTTGCTGAAAATTAAATCCCCTTATATTTTATACTATTAAAACCATTTAATTTTCTTAATAGCAAGCCACAAGATATCAATTGCAGTCCTTGTTTATATCACTGAGGGTCTATATGTAGTATGACTGTGTCTCATCAGACTTTTTATTTTGATATTTACGATGTTTACGTGTTTATTTCCATTTTGGAAGCAAAACTTCTTCAAAAGAAAGCTCTTATTTTCTCAGATTATCACCCTAATTTCTTTGTCTTTTTATATGTTGTGAAATGCTTATGTGAAATACAGTCTAGACATGCCAGGAAATAATCACATTTAACCACATGATGTTTGCTGTTGTTGCTGTATATGCTTTTATGTTTTACCATTCTTCCCTGCTCTTTGCTTAGTATATCTATTTAGACTGTGAGCTCTGTAGGGCAGCAATTGCGAAGTACTGCATATTTTTACCATGTTTGATTAGAGAGGGTAGCAGTCTTATTTACATCCTAGGTTCTATAGAGAGAAATATAATAAATGCAACAAAATAATTATTTTTTATAGGAGTGCTAGAATTGTTTGCTCTGGTAAGTACTGCTGGGACTGGAGGAACTCTATTTGTTTTTACTTGAAGAATGAGTAGTATTTTCCTGTACCTCTATCTAAAGTAGTCTTTTGGAAAATTTGGATTATAGAAAATTGTCAAATCCACAGATACTAGAGTTTTAATATGCAATCAAAGCATCATCAGTGACTCGAGATACAGTACCTAGACACATTTCCTGTGGAATTTTACTTGTATAAAGGTGGTAAAAACTGTAGTTAAAAACATAATCCATAGATACAGCTTTTACACAGTATTCTGTATAATTTTCTTTCATGAATTAACAGCTCATATTCTAATAACAATAGAGGCTTTTTCTGTCCTTCTTTAGGATTTTCTAATGCTTGTCTTTAAGGGGAATAATCATTTTCTTTAAAAGGAATAATGATCTACAAGAACAGCAGATTACATAACTTCTGTCAGTGACAGAACATAATTGTGATTAATAGCAGTTTTTTACTGTGGAGAATTGAATTTTACACAAAGTTATTTTGAACAAATGAACTACCAATGATAAAAAATGAAATTCAACAGAATTGAAAACGTTGACTATAGTAGAAGGAGTTTATGTTATTATTTAACAAGTAAAGCAGCAAGTAGATCTGAAAACTTTCTAGAGGTTTGAGTAGATTTTTATGTGTTATTATATGCCCTATGATAATCCAAACAGTTGTCTGTTGTTGGGAAGTCTATATGACCATACTGGAAAATGTCATTGTCACAGGGTAGTCCTTTCTCTTCTTATGGAAACATATACTTGACTTAAATGAGAGGGAGGATTTTATATTGCATGGAAACATGCTGTGAAGGTGATAATTTCTGTATCTTGAAATCAAGGATTTAATTGTTGCCTAGATTCAGTTAAAATCATACTGAAAAAAAGACTCAGTAAAAGATACATTATAGACAAAAAGGAATTGGAATTCATCTCAGTTTTGTAAAAAACAGAAAAACTTCCATGTGTGTAACTCCTACGGTAGTCTCATTTAGTCTGTATACATCTTAATAATCTGTATTTGTTACAGGGTTGAAACTGCATACTATTTCTTAAAATGTAGTAGAAATGCAGGGACTTAAGTAGAAATACGGGAGTAATTTACAGTTGGGTAAATTTTTTGTTATAGTGCAGCACGGGGAAAAAAAAACCACTGGGTAACTGCTATCCAAATTAGCATCAGAATTAAAAGACGTAGATTTGGGGTAGATTTCGTTCAGTGAACTGTGTTTATATGATTGCAGATTTTTGCTCCAAGACATCTAGATTTCCCCAGAATAATTTATTTCAACAACCTGAAATAGCCAGAGAAGTTTGTTTTTAAGAAATCTAGCTGTGAGTAGCTATGAAGGACCACTCCTAACAGTAGTGTATTGACCTATATCTCTTTTTCTTATTGTTCCACATGCCCAGTAGGAGAACATACAAATATCATTAGGTGCATTGCATTTGCAATCTTTTGTGGTCATGACATTGTGGCTAATTCCTTAGCTTCACACAGCTGTCTTGCTGTCAGTATCGGATTTACCTGTTCAAAAGAAAGACTGAGTATCTCTGAAATGTACGTCATTATCTTATCTAGCCAGAAGATACCATAAACATCTAGGCAGTCTGGGTTTTCCTTTAGACTTGTTAGTTTAGTATATTTTCATGTTAGATGGCTGGAAAATAGTTCTGAGAAGAAGCCTGGGACCACTTAAGGCTTTACCAGATTTTCATTACTGAAATGTCAGATGACTTTTTTTTTATCTGAACTTTTGCTTGTATATTTTTAAATTATGCTAGAAATAGAGATATCTTGTTTCAGATGAACATTTGTAGAAAAACAGTAGTATTTAGTTGAACTTGTTTTTAGCAGTGAAATGGCTATGTACTCTTAAATGTTCTGTATTATTAGTGCTATAGACATAAGTGAATACTGGAATATTTATAGTTCTTAAGGGTTAGCAAGATTTTTTTCATTTATACGCAGATATATTTATTTTGTTCTTACTCGCCTTGGTAGAAGGATGAATTAAGTGACTACTTGCTGCTAATTAAAATGGAACACCATAAAGTGCTCTTGAAAGTATTCAGTATTATCCTCTTATATTTGTTGTTAATTACTAGTCAGAGAGAAAGTATTTTTTCATAATAGAGATTTTTCCTTTATAGCTTTTTCTTTCTTCATCCCTACAAAAGAAACCCAACTATCCATCCAACAAAAAAAAAAAAAAAAAAGAAAATTATGTCCGGACAAATGTAATAAAACCTTTAAGTATAAAAATGAAATGCTCAGAAATTTACCAAATAGTAGAGCTCAGTGAGGATTTGCCCATCTATTTATGCTCTATGGCCCAGACTTTAATTACATGGTCTCATAATAATCTTGTGTCTTGGGAAAGTTATTTCAGAGGTTGTTAAAGCTGACATTAATGCTGATTAACTGTCTCCTCTTAACTTCAGGTATGGGTGATCTTATTTCAGAATGAAATTATCTATGAATGGAATTAATAGGGGTAATTGATTAGATTTAATAAGGGATAGCTGTCATCCATAACTCCGGTTTTTATATCTCTCAAATACAATTTCAAATATTTAAAAAGAAAATATCTATACTGTTAATTGTATTGCTGTTGCAACTCATGCAGTATGGAGTGTGAATTACTGAGACACTCTGATGGTTAGCAAAACAGATATTATTGACAGACAGAAAGACATGCTGTTTATTTTAAGGGGGTTTGTCTCATTCATAATTTCTCTGTTAAATGAGACATAATTTTGCAAAATGAGAAGTAATTTTATTGTGTGTTTTCCAGTGGCCTATCACAGTTTGATGACAGACAGACTATTGTAATGCAATTGCAGAGAAATCTGTATTCGCACTGGTCATAATTCTATCATACCCTATCAGCTGCGATTTCACAGGTTTTCAAAAATATATATCATACAGGTAGTTTTGGGTTTTTTTTAAATGTGATTGATCACATGTCTATAATATAGGATAGGACCTTGGACTA